AAATTGGTTAACTGATTAAATGGCGAAGAAAAATTTTGAGCGAATTTTAAAATTTCAACTGTATGATTTATTACTAAATGAATAAATTATTTCAGACTAAACTCACCTGTAAAAGTAAAAGTTGCAAACTTAATTCATTCACTTCTGAATCACCAGATAAAGTGTAGGGTAAAAATGTGGGCCAAACTGTTTTCAAAATACGAATTGGCATCCAAAGCATAAGAAGTACAACAGAGCCAAATATCATAGCCGAAGAAATCAAGCGACGAACATGTCTTAAGATGGGAAGATGTATCATTTCCTATAAAAACCCCCCAACAAAAAAAGAAGCAAATTATTAAACAAACACAAAGAAAACTATTTAAACTCACCTGTATAGGACTAAAGTCGGGATCATTTAAATTGCGTAAAAACCACAAAACACCAGGACGTAATACTTCTCGTAGCAGAGAAATAAACGCAGCAAAATAGTAAACATAAACCATACCAAACATCCAGTGAACAAATAGCGATGTACCCGGTGCGGCGGTAAAACTAGCCTTGCGATCTTTAAGACTAAAACATAAAAAGGAAAACATTAAACATTTTATTAAAACTATAATTAATTTAAAACAAACTTACGTAGCATCAAACAAGGGCAGTGAACAAATATCTAACCACCAGCCGCAAACCAAGGGCAATACGCCAATCTCCACCACCGACAATAGAGATACCTTTACCACTATATAGCACAAGCCTATAAGATTGCGCACTCTTCTCATATGGAATGCTTTTGCCAGAAAATGTAATACCACCAATATGTGTCCAATAAAACAATAACCAAATAAAGTAGTTAATAGGCCATGAAAATGTAGCAAAGGTTTATCGGCATTCAATAGATTCATCGATTGCAAGATAAAATGGCCAATACAGTAGGGACAAAAGGCAAAGGCAAAAATTAACATTGTGTTTAGAGAAATAATCCAGAAAACATGTTCCAAAAATACTAATGAACCATCCAGGCCCAGTAGACGTTCCCAAGTCAACTCTTCAGCGGCACGATCCCATTCCATGGGATTCCAATTTGGCTCGTCGTTATCATTATCAGCAGCATTGGCGGCTGCGTTGTTATTTGGATTGTTATTGGCGGCGCCTCCAGCCAAGGCAGGAGGTAATTGGGGACCAAATTCTAGAGGAGGATCACCTTCATTTTCTGCCGGATCTGCTACAGCGGGAGCATTATTGTTCATAGGTTCTACCACAGGAGCTTCGGCATTATTATCATTATTAGCAACGGCGGCAGCTGGAGCAGCAACTGGCTCATTAGCATTGGCCTGATCTGCCAGCAGTTCAACCTCTTCCTCAGGTATAGCTTCTTCCAAAATATTACCAACGCCTGCCTCATTATCGGCAGCAACATTAGCTTCTGCACCAGCTGCTGCAGCTACCGCAAATTCTGGCAAAGGTATAAGATCTACATCATCCTCCCCATCATTGTTGCCACCACCTTCCGCCACAGCCGGGGCATCTTCACGTTCCAACCAGTCCGGACCACCACCCAGCAATATCTGCTCTCTTAACCACACCAAACCAATAAAAGACAACAGCGTACAGGTCACTACAAAACAACCGCGAAAAACATCCGAAGCCAAATTTTCCGTAGAAAATATATCGAACGGCAATGTCATAATCATATCGAAAGATGAAGCTCGAAACAAATAACGATAAGTGCGGTACGCCGACAACGGAACAATTACAAACCAGGCCAAACCCACCAGAGTATAATGGGCCCATGACTTGGCCGCCTTCATGATGGCCGATATCAAACCCCCAGCCACATCACGCAGTGGCAATACACGGGGCATATCGGGCGAGTATATGGGTTGGAAACTAAAACGGTGACCACATAGTTCACAGTATTCCTTGTGCGAATAACGCATCCATTGCATTAAACAATCCTGATGAATATACTTTATGCTGCCCGTGCAGACGCAAGGATAGAAAAGAGGACGATCCGATTGAGCCTCACAACGACAAACGCGACAAATGTCGCCTTGTGACAAATCATCCATTGTTTACAACAAAAAAAGCTATCAACTTTTCTTCACTTTCCACAATCTTTATTTAGGCATTAGGAGTTTTTGCTATAGAATCCCTTTTCTCTTCACTATTTTGTTTGGTTTTCCTACTATATTTTCTTGCTTTTATATTTTTTTGCAATATTTTACAAAAATTTTCCTTCCACAAAATTTTTTCTTTCTTTATTAATTTCACACGTAAATTTATCAGCCAGCTGTTTGTTTCTCATGTAATGTTGTTGTTGTTATCGATGTGAATAAAACATAATTTTTTAACATACTTTTTCCCAGAGTTGTACTAAATAGGAAGTATTGTGTTTTTAGTACTTTTTTTAAATGCAGAATGGATAAGGGTAAGGGTATCCTATATTTATGTGTTAAATTTGAATAACAAATGTAAACGATTTTCATTACAAAAATATAGCAATTCTCTCATATAGCCCATTGTTTGCACATATTTCGACACCTATTGCACATACATTATGTTATAATTATAGGTATATTAAACACTTTTATAATATTAATATAAATTTTTCTATTTTTATTTGGTTTTAATTTGTGTTTCGTTCATTGTTGTAAAAATATGTATTTTCTCTACTAAGACAGGGATGTCCATTGTAATTTCAACTTAATTTCAATGAAATTAAGCAAAATGACTGGATTTCAAATTAACAAAATTACTTAATTTCGAGTAGAATATTATTAAATTAATTAATTATTAAAGAAATTAATTTTTCGCGGGAATTTTTATGCAAAACAATGAAGTTTGCTGTATTTTTTCGCGGCAATTTATCCTGCCTCCGGTCGGTATGATGACTTTTTGTGCCAAAAAAGTCTTCATACCAAGAAGTTTAACAACCTAAGAATGTCTATACGTCTTCATACCTTCATACACGTCATACAAAAATACAACCCTGATAAACCAGTGCTACCACATATAACGCAGAGATACAATACTGGCTGTATACGTCTGGCAACTTTTCACACAGCTGTCGTTACTCATACAGTATGTTCAGTGTTGTTTATCAAAAATTAAAAAAAAAAAAAAAACAACAAAAACATCCTCATGCCATATGTTCAGTGCTATTCATTGAAAACTAAATAAAAAGCAACAAAAACATCATCATTATTTTTATCAAATTTATCATTATTCCGAAAGAAAATTTTCTAGCGTGTAAAGTAAGTTTATTTTGTCAAATTGCCAAGTAATATAATTAAAAAAAATATTTAACATTTTAGCTTTATACATTTCTCCGAAAAAGCAGAAAAATTAACAGTGAAAAATGTTGCGCACTATTTTCCAAAAAACCGGACAAAATCTTTTGCCTCGTCTAGGTCAACGTACAGTGGCCACTAGCGGCATTAAAAATGAGATTTTCAACGTACAAAGCTCAGAAGATTTCGAAAATAAAGTCAAGAAGAGCGATAAGGTGGTGATAGTTGACTTTTTTTGCAACGTAAGTTTTATGATGAAATTCTTGATTGAGAAGATTATATAATTAATTTTGTCTAGATGGTGTAATCCCTGCAAAATGTTGACCCCTCGTTTGGAATCGATTGTAGGAGAAAAAGCTGGCGCCGTTAAATTGGCTAAAGTAGATATCGATGAACACAGTGAATTGGCTTTGGATTATGATGTAGCTGCTGTGCCCGTTCTCATGGCCATGAAAGATGGCAAGGTGGTCAACCGTATGGTGGGTTACAAGATACCGACAAGCTTAGAGCCTGGATTGACAAAACTGTTGAAGAAAATAAGTAAATGATACGAAATGGTGCCAGAAGAGAATGATTTTATTTAAGATTTGTTAAACATTTATTCCGATGAGCATATCCCAAAAAGCAGCTTTAATTTCGATAATTTCTGTATATTTTCAATACTTTGTTTTCAATGTTATCTTCTTGGTATCATTAAATGATCTGAGAAAGATTAAAATCTAATAAACATATTGGTATAAATCATTGCCAAACGAAATTGTTATACTACTTGTGTTTTAGTCTTCTAAAGATTATTTCCGATACAAATGTTATTTTGGTAAAAGTTACTGTTTAGTTAAATGGCTAGTTTAAACACATAAAATACTCGATCAAATTATCTACAATTGTCCCAAACTTCCATAGAGCACCTTTTTATTAAAACGTTTTTAAAATTTTCGATTTTCTTTTAAGTTTATTAACAAGTATCATCCTAACTAAATTGAATACCATCCTGGTGTACCAGGTCTCTTTTATTACGTTCCAGAAAATCTCTAAAGCCCTTCTTCGAATCATCCAATGCCTTCTCGTCGCTCTTTTTGGTCTCTGCCTTTTAGCAAATAAATCAGGGAAGGTAAATTCCATTGTTTTAGGCTAAAATAAACATCAACAGTTAATTCCAAACATTTTCTGTACAAAATATCCCTCAATCCTCCTAGAACTCACCATAGTTACATAAGCTATTTTCATATCATCATTTTTGGTCACATAGCCATAGGTGGTATCACGTTTTGTAGAGCCCAACTCAATACGGGTTCGCACATCTACCACGGGAATTTTGTATATTTTCTCTAGATAATTTTTACATCATATTTTGTCATTTCCATCGAGACGGAAAATGTGGCGACATTTTTCGGTTGTTCCTCTAGTGGCCGTATCAATTCATCCAAAAATTGGGTAAGAAAATACGTAATTGTGGATTTCCACGTTGATAAATGGGATACCAGCGACTAGACATAACTTATTTTTATGTTTTATATAAACTTTAATTAATAATTTTTAATTATTTTGTGAAATTGTAAAAAAAATCGTGATTTTTCTTTTGCAAAATAACGATTTTAGCTAATCAGCTGTTTAGTTTTAATTCGCCTTGACATAATTGCTTAAATAGTAGCAAACAATTTATTTTTAGTACGTTTTTTATTAATAACAAAAATTGAAAATGGCTACACTAGCAACCATATGTTTATTTATAAAAAGGCGCTGGAATCAAGGAATAGTATACAATATATTTTCTGCGATATTTTTTTAATATTAATGTTTAAAAGTGATTTAAATTGACGTTTAGTGTTTATGTAATATATGTCATGCCTGTTTTAATAAAAACGTAAGTTTATATTAATTTGTTAATTATTTACCTTTGTTTACAGTGGCTTTTGTTGGCATCAATAATTTTATGCTTTTGAGTTAGGGGTTGCCAATCGTCTTTTTTACAAACAATTTTTCATTAAAATATCTTGGGAAACAAAAATCTCCAACTTCACACGAAGGTGAAACTTTTAAAAATAAATTGAAAAAATCTAGATCACCGTAACAATTTTTAGAATAAATCTGGACTAACGTAAAATGTGTTAAATTTAAACCTAGTAGTGTATAAAAAATGGTGTTGTTGACCAAAACCATTTTTATATCCAAAAATGTATTTTTAGCTAAGCCGGTGTTAGATTCAGCCAAGAGGAAAAAGTACATGCTACCAGCAGAAGGGCGGTTGTTCAGAGAATGTGATTATAAACAATAAAAAATTAGGACCTCGCAAACTGGATCAGAGATCTACATATGTTTGTTCCGAAAAAAAATAATTTTTTCTGTATATCTATTATTACAGTTTGATATAGTTACATTTTATTGAAATGGTGTTTACAAATTCCTCATGTATTGAAAATTTTTTAATTTAAATTCCAAAACGTTACGCTACGTTAAAATAAAATATTTTGTAAAACTATGTCAACACTACTTGTTTCTACATCGCTGAAATTAGTAAACAAACTGTTGACAAGTCGAATTCGCCTTAAAACTGTCCATAAATTTAATTTTTTCGGATTGTTTGCAGTCGAAGATCTGAATTTCACATTTCTGTGAAAAAGTAAATAAATTAAATTAAATAATGGGACCGCCAAAGAAATCGAAAAAAGATAAATTTGGTGGAGACAAATTTGGTAAGTTTAGGAATTCCTACTACATAAACTGTATAATAACATTAGAATTTAACAGGTAAAAAACGACGTGCCGAAGATGAGGCCTACACACAGCTTGTTGATGACAATGATACCATCGATATTAGTGAATCTGATGGAATACCGGGAGCAGCTTCTAAGAATGCCGAAACTAATGATGATGGTATAAATACCGATGAATATGGTGCCAAAGATTATCGTTCACAAATGGAACTTAAAGTGGATCACAACAATCGTCCTTTATGGGTGGCACCGAATGGTCATATATTTTTGGAGTCATTCTCACCTGTTTATAAACATGCTCATGATTTTCTAATTGCCATCTCTGAACCTGTCTGTCGTCCCGAGCATATACACGAATACAAATTAACAGCCTACAGTTTATATGCCGCCGTATCGGTTGGCCTACAGACCCATGACATTGTTGAGTATTTGAAGAGATTAAGTAAAACTAGTATTCCTGAGGGTATTAGAGATTCATTAACTGTGTACTTTATCGTATGGCAAAGTTTAAATTGGTTTTTAAAACATAATCGCTATTTTATTGAATCTCCTCATCCGGATATTTTACAAAAGTTGCCTCAAAGATCCAGTTATACAGACGTGTCGCTAAAGCGTGAAGAAGGAGATGCTTTTATACAGGGCACTGTGGAGGGTAACGCTATAACTCAGTTTGGTACAAATTACCCGATGGTACAGTTAAGGGCGCTGATGGTAAGGCTGATCCCAATGCTGCTGGCACTATTAATGCAGATGGCACAACCAATGTACCCGATGATATTACAAATTTTTATGATAAAATTGATAATGAGGAGGAAGACGAGGATGAGGCTAATTTAAAAACAGTTTCATTTGAAGTAAATCAGGAAAAAATTGAAGTTATACAGAAGCGTTGCATAGAAATTGAACATCCTCTGCTGGCAGAGTATGATTTTCGTAATGATACACATAATCCAGATATAAATATTGATCTAAAACCTGCTGCTGTGTTGAGGACCTATCAGGAGAAGAGTTTGCGCAAAATGTTTGGTAACGGACGTGCTAGATCAGGAGTTATGTACTACCTTGTGGTGCAGGTATGTTTTGAAGTCATATCTATTTAATGCACCATTTTTTATAATGCCTCTTAATATTTTAGGTAAATCTTAGTTGGTGTTACCGCCTGCTGTACCGTGCGCAAACGTGCCTTGGTTTTTGTGCAACAGTGGTGTATCAGTCGAACAGTGGAAGCAACAGTTTAAAATGTGGTCTACCGCTGATGACAGCATGATTGTCGTTTCACTTCTGAGGCTAAAGATAAACCTATGGGTTGCGGCATTCTAGTCACCACCTATTCTATGATCACTCACACTCAAAAACGTTCTTGGGAAGCAGAGCAGACAATGCGTTGGCTGCAGGAACAGGAATGGGGCATAATGGTATTGGATGAAGTACACACTATTCCAGCCAAAATGTTTCGTTAGAGTTTTAACTATAGTGCAGTCTCACTGTAAACTTGGTTTGACTGCCACCTTGTTGCGTGAAGATGACAAAATTGCTGATTTGAATTTCCTTATTGGTCCTAAACTATATGAAGCCAATTGGTTGGAGCTACAAAAGAAGGGCTTTATTGCTCGTGTACAGTGTGCCGAGGTGTGGTGTCCAATGTCTCCTGAATTCTATCGTGAATACTTGACTGCCAAGACTTCCAAGAAAATGTTACTTTACGTTATGAATCCATCCAAATTCCGCAGTTGCCAGTTTCTTATTAAATATCATGAAAAAAGAGGTGACAAAACCATTGTCTTCTCGGACAATGTGTTTGCTTTGAAACATTATGCCATCAAAATGAATAAACCTTTCATTTATGGTCCTACCTCACAAAATGAACGTATACAAATTTTACAAAATTTCAAATTCAATCAAAAAGTCAACACCATTTTTGTATCAAAAGTGGCCGATACTAGTTTTGATTTGCCCGAAGCTAATGTGCTTATACAGATTTCCTCACATGGTGGTTCTCGTCGTCAGGAGGCTCAGCGTTTAGGTCGTATTTTGCGTGCTAAAAAGGGTGCCATTGCCGAGGAGTATAATGCCTTCTTCTACACCCTTGTTTCGCAGGACACCATGGAAATGAGTTATTCTCGCAAACGTCAACGTTTCTTGGTCAATCAGGGTTACAGTTATAAAGTTATTACACATTTAAGTGGCATGGACACAGATCCCGACTTATTTTATAAAACCCGTGAAGAACAATCCCAACTGTTGCAGCAAGTTTTATCTGCTTCCGATCAGGACTGTGAAGATGAAAAGATTCCGGGTGAACCAGGCTATCGTCCAGGCGGTTCTAGTACCATGAAACGTGGCGGCTTGAGTTCTATGTCGGGCGGTGATGATGCCATTTACTATGAACATCGTAAAAAGAATTCTGGAAATGTACATCCATTGTTTAAGAAATTCAGAGGTGTTTAAAAGAATGTAAAACTATGCATGTAATGCTGATGTTATTATTAATTAAATGTACTACAAATAAATGGAATATATATGAAATTTATCACTTATTTTTGTTGTTTAATTTTTCTTAGAGAAAATTTGATTTTTATGTTAGAATTTGAATTTTAGCGAATTCGGTTCCAGTTCTTTAGATATTCCGTTCCAGTTCTTCAGATAACCAAAAATATATTTGCAATAATAACCGAAACCTCCATTTTTTTTAGCAAAACCTCTAGCGGCTTAAAAGAATGGGCCATTCTTGAACTGCAAGGGGATCTAGAGGTGCGATCTAATGAGGATATGCACGATCAATTTGTGGGTGATCTGTACTACAACAAATATGGTCAACCAGTAAGCTCATTTACAAATATAACTTCCAAATTTCTAAATCATACTATTCCACTTTAGATTTTAATTATCGGCCATCACATTTTGCAAGGCAGAGAACAAAAACTCGAAAAACCCTTTGCCGTCTTGGAAAAATCAAAAACCAATGAGGGTCAACATTTATTGGACCAAACTGTGGGCAATTTAAATGCCAGCGTTATGAACAACACTGTAGATCGCACGCTGCTCGATAATACGGTGGCTTTGGAAAACAAATCAAGACAGAAAAGTGAATACACAGTGCAGGCCGTTATAACCAAAAAGTTGATCTTTAAATCTAGACCCAAACCCATTATAGCAAATGTAGCAAAAAGTGTGTAAATTTCAAATTGGTTTTATTCAATATTTTTTACGCTAAATTTAAGATAAAAGAAATAATTAAAATAAAGTACACGAAAATGATAATAAAAAATAAAAAAATTAAACAATTTCCATTTCACGTTCAATGCCCACAAATTTCAATTGTTCCGTAGGACCATATCTATAGTCAAAGAATAGTTCTTCTCCCGGTTGTATAGCACGTTTAGCGAAAATACCAATACGATGATCGCCTGTCACCATCATTACTTTAGCATAGCAATTGGGATTGATGGAATGATTGGCAAAACGTATTTTATTCCCCTTACGCGTAGCATCCACCACAAAATCATTATTCAAATTGAAAAGGAAAGAGCACATGTACTTATCATACACTTTGCCACGACGATCGGCTTCATCTTGCGATATAATTTCACCGCAATATTCCGAAATGAATTCATTCTTTTGTGCACCCTCCTTAAGGAATATACCCCAACCGGCTACATCTGAGGGAGCCATTAGTAAATGTTTATCTGTTGAAAATAAATAAGTAAATTTTCTAATTTTATGTGAAATTAAATACAAGAACTTACGTAGACCCCGTTGTACACAAAGAATTTTAGTTAATTTAAATTGATCCGCTCCACAAGCTTGACACAAATCATGATCACAT